GATTGTTTCCTGCCTACTCCTCCACCTCCATCGTTGGTCTCCTTCATCGTGCCCCTCCTGTGCCTGCTCCTCTTCCTCCTCCTCATGCTCCTCCTCCTCCTCATCATTCTGCCCCGCCTGCTCCATCAACTGCCTCCTCCACCCTTCCTCCCTCTCCACCTCCTCCTCCTCCACACCCCCCGCGTTTCCATATTCGTGGCCTCCAGGGTCGGCGGCACAGGCCGTAAGGCCTTCGCAATCTACGCTGCCTCGTCGATTACCAGACGCTAGCGCACACGAATGCAATCTAAAAACATAAGTTCGAGGACATGCAAGCATATAAGGCTCCCGTGAGCTGCTACTGAACGGAGGGAGAAGGTACGGATGCCGCTACTCCCCAGACCTCTCCAGGGGTGCATTCTGACCATAACCTCGACGAGGATCCAGCCGTGGCGGCGAGGGCTCTCCAAGACGAGCAGTGGTCTCGGAGCAACTCTTCCTCCTCTGACAGTAGCTCCGCGCCTGGCTGTCGGCTAGCGCGCCTGCGCCGCCCCTGGCTCATCGCCGCGCGCGCGTGCGCGCCAGCCTGCACCAGGGGGAACTTTGATCCCGCTGTGGCGCGCACCCCGCGGGTTCGTGCGAGGCTGAGGCCTTGGCCCCTCCGCAGACCATTTGGATCATATCAGGCATACAACTTGTTCTTAGCTGATTGTCGAGCTGGGGAAAATTGGCCCTCTGGGCCGCCGATTCCTCGGGCTCGATTCTGCCAGCTGGCCGAAAGACTTATCACGAAAAATGACGACGGGCGGTTTTGGGCAATTTTCGGCCTCTGGGGGCCCTTACTGGGCCCGAGGCCCGTAAAAAAACAATTCTGGATGCGAAACTGGTCCCAGGGAAGGGGTCCAGACACCCAGGGGCGAGGGCCTGTGCAGATCTGGCTCGCTCCAGAGGCCCCCCCAATGCTACCTCTCGGTAGGCCCCCCCTCTCCCGACTTCCGCCGCCTCCCGCCCCCGCCGCACTCCGTCAGCCTTCCGCTGGCCTTCCGCCGAGGGCGAGGCGAGCCGACCGACGGCGAGGCCCTCTGGGCATCCCCCGGCTGGAGGTTCCCCCCCGAGCTCCCTCCTGAGACCTGCGAGGCCTCCGCGGCACCTGAAGGATCGTCATGCGGGGTTAAGGGCCCCCCCCGAGGTTCACCCCCGAGCTCCTGAGGCCTGCGAGCCGTGTCCCCCCCCCTGGTTGGCCACGGGCGCTCGGGTCCGAGAAGGCCGCCCTGCACCGATGGCACCGCCGTCCAGAAATGCTGCGGGCGAAGCACAACTCATGCCCGTGGGTAGGGCGGGGGGGAGATTAACCAAACGAACACACTGCACCTTGGGCGGAAGAGCACCCTGAGCAGATGTTCATAGCATCATCGGATCGTTATTAGGAGACACTATCGTAGAAGTGCAGGCAATCTAGGGAGTACCGAAAAAGGAAGACGTGACAAAAGAGACGATCAAACAAATGCATAAAGGAGACCGTACTGGAGACCATACGGTTGGCCATACGAGAAGCCATACCGGAGACCATGCAAGAAACCATACGGGAGACAATAATCGCACCAGCCCTTCAGGGCGTAGGTGGTTCAGGGCGCTTGTTCTTCCGGCCACCCTTCTTCCCCTTCGGGGAGGTGTTTATCACTGCTCCACAGCAGCCGATCCGAACCCATGACGAACCCAAGTCAACAAAGAAGAACATACAGTTTGCCTCCAAATCTGGAGAATGCGCGGGCGCCTCGCGACCGACCACTCTGCATTCGTGTTTAACAATCACGGCGGGGGTGCCCTCATATTGCCTGCTGCGCGCAAGCAAACCATCCCTGTCAGATTTCAACACAGCATGCACTGTCTATCCAAATCTGGAGCCTGCGCGGGCTCCCCGCGACCACTTTGCACTCGTGTTTGAAAGGGGCGGCGGGGGGGCCCTCATACTGCCTGCTGCGCGCATGCCAACCATCCCTGTCGCATGCCAACCATCCCTGTCAATTTACATTAGAACGTGCACTTCGTCACCAAATCTGGAGCATGCGCGGGCGCCCCGCGACTTCTTTGCATCTGTGTTTGACATGGGCGGCGGGGGTGTCTTCATATTGCTTGCTGGGCGCAGGCCAACCATCCCTGTCAAACTACAATGCAGCATACACTTTGCCTGCAAATCCGGAGCATGCACGGGCGCCCCGCGACCCCTTTGCATTCACCTTTGATAAATATACTCGGGTGCTGCTCATGTGTTGGGACGGCGGGTGGGAGTGAGCGAGACGGCTTGTGCCCTGTGGGCAGGAGGTGTCTTGACCGCTCCCCCTGCCCCCTCCCCTGGACCGGGACTGGAGGTTCGCGACCCATTGGAGCGTCCAAGATGGCCTAAGATAGCTCCAAGAGGACCTCAGGGAGCCGAAGCTGACCTTCAAGATGGTCCAAGATGGCTCAGGACAGCTCAAGATGTCTTCCAACATGCCCCACGAGGCCCCAAGACCGCCCCAAGACAGCTTCAAGGAGCCTCCAAGGAAGCCACCAAGAAGCCCGCATTCTTCAACACCCAAGTGAAACCCAAGAGGGTCCCAATACGACCGCAAGAGCGTCCAAGCGCGCTCCAAGAGGGGTCCAAAAGGCGATCTCACGGGCCCTGGAGGTACGAGGCTAACTGGGGACCCCCACTTGTTTGAACGAACTCCTCCAAGATAGCCCTAAGAGGGCCCCCGAGGCTCCCAAGAGTGTCCAGGAGAGACCCACGCGGCGCCAAAATGCTCCAAGAGACCCGAAGAGACTCCCCCGAGGCATCCAGGACGCTCGGAGAGAGGCCCTAGGACCGCCAAGAGGCCCCCGAAACGCCTCATTCCACTGCACGCTCCTCCACGTCCCTGATCAAAGCAACTCGCCTGGGCATCGTTCCTGGATGGGCTGGTGGGGTTACGAGCAGCGTCTGGAAGTACGGGGGGCCACACAAGAGACCATACAAGAGACCACACGAGAGACCACACGAGAGACCACACGGGAGACCACACGGGAGACAATGTAGAAGAGGCCTCACCGGAGAACACACGGGAGACCAGACGGGAGAGCAGACGGGAGACCACACGGGAGACGACCAAGACTACGAGGGACCACACGAAGAGACCATACGGAACGCCATGCAGGAAACCGCACAGGCCCCCACGGGAGACCACACGGGAGACCATACGGGAGACCACAGGGGAGACCACGGGCCACGGGCCACCGACACGCCCAGCCTTTGGAAGCAGAGTGTAGGACAACTGCAGACAAAGCTGTTTGGCGGAACACGGCTAACACTTTTTGGCCGGCGGGGCGAGAGCGAACCTCTTCCGCTAAAAGCTAGGCGGCCTACGTACAGCTTTAATTAGGCGATGAGCAACGTTGTGCCACCGGATGGTGCGGAGGAGGCCCAACACGGCTAACACACATACACACACCTGCTGTCAGAGGTCCGCCCCAGATTTCTTGGATCCGCGCCAGAGGCGACGCCAGGGGTGTATGGCGCCAATCTGAGGAATCCGCGCGGACCTCCAGAAGTGCATGTCCGTGCTGAGCTTGAGCCCTCGAAAAAACGCATCCAAAAACATCGCGGGCGAGGCACATCGAATCGGGAAATCGGATCGGAACGTCCGCCAGAGCGGGCTGCATCGGCACGACGTCGGAACCGAATGGGATCGGCCACGCCAGGGGCAACGAGAACTCTCACTCAGCCGAGGCTGGGGCCAGCGCGGGGTCACGCGAGCTCGAGCGGCTTCAGGGAGGTGTGGCCGCCGCGGGCGCCGCTGCAAGCGCCGCTGCGCGCCAGCCGCTCCACAACGGGCGCGCTCCGCGCACGTGGGGTGTGTGAAGGCCCGCCCTCCTGAGGGCAAGCCTGGGCCGAGGCTGCACCGCATCGCGAAGCCGCACCGCATCGGAAACGGATCGGACCGCGTCTGACTACCTACCAGACCACCCCAACCCAACCCGAAGACCCCAATTTCGGGTTGGGGGGGGGTACGGGTTCCATATGTGTATTTTCGATGTTCCCCGACCCCCCCCCCAACTGGAAATGGAGGGCAAATTGAGGCCTTCGGGTTGGGTTGGGGTGGTTTGGTGGGTGGTGAGCGTCGGGAGCGGACCGCGTCCGGATGGATCTTGTGGGACCGTCCAGCGGGCTCGGCCACTGCAGGCCGGAGAGCAGGAGAAGCAAGGGCGGCATAGACGCCAAAGATAACATTCCGGAGGTCCGCGCGAGGTTCTTGGAGCGGCGCTGGAGCCCCCCTCCCTGGCGCGCGGAGCGCGTCAGGGGCGGCGCCGGGTCTGGCGCAGATCCAATGAATCAGCGCGGAGCTTCCAACGTTGATATTTTTACGCATGTGTTTCTCTTCCGAGAGAGGGGATCGATTCGTGTCGAATCGGATCAAGATCGGAATGAAGACTCGGGGATCGGATCGGACCGTGTGCGGCCCTGTCAAGGGCTCCTCGTCTTGCTTCAGCCACGACTCCGAGCCTCGAGTCAGACGTCCGCTTGCGCGAGTAAGACAACTCCACCAGGTTGTGGGCGCGAGTGGTTTGGTGGATTGGCTCTTCCAGAACACTTCGGTCTTCGCCTCCCTCATGCCTCAACACCTCCCCCTCCCCTGTGGACAGGAGGTGGCTGGCCTTTCGGCGTTCTGTTCAGTCTTCCCAGAGCCAAGCCAAGACCTACATGAGATTAAGCTTGTGAATCTGGACCAACAGCCTGAGCCCGAAAACGTAACGTGTGACTTCGGGCGCACCAGTATGTAAACAGGCGCATGGTCGACTGAGTCGTGCTTCCCTGATTGCATGAGAGGCCCTCCAAGTGCCGAAGCATGGGGTGGACACCCGGGAGCGGAAAAATGAGGCTCGATGCGACCTGTGCAAAGGATAGCGTGATGGAAAGGTAGAGAAAACGAAGGGGCGGGGTGCAGGAGGCAAAAAGGACTGCAAGGTCACCTTGCGAAAGCGACGACTGACAAACCAAGCGATAACCGCGCTCCACCGCAGAACAACACGAGTCTGTGCGGGATCTGCCGATGTGGGCACCACGCTTGCAGGTGAGCCTGACAATCATCATGAAAGGTCGGATGCACATGGGTTCCATCATCATGTTTCTCTGGCCCCTCCGAGCCAGAAGGGCTGCTGTGCCCACTACACCCCTAGATCAGTGCCCGAACTTGCTGCACTGAATTCGGCCATGGATCGTGTCCTCGCTGCCAAAGACATGCGGCAACTGAAGATCCAGCCAAGATCCGCCACCGTGCCAGCATCACGTTGGGGCGCGTCAGAATCCTCATTTGTCGACTGAACGGGTCCCTGCACTGCTTCTAAGGCGACACCCCATTCTAGCGCGCGTCCTCAGAACATCACTTCATCGAGTTTTGCTGTCTGACGCCATGTTTGGCCTCCAGATGGTTCGAACACAACCACGGACGACCCAAAACAGCTACGGAACGCCCCAAGACCGTCTACGCACAGCTGAGCGAATTCCACGAACGCTCCAGCATATGCCCAAGAGGAGGCATCCAGCGAGGCTCACATAGGCAACATTCATGGAATGGAGCACGTATGGGAACTCCATGCCTCTGGTATTCCGAAGTTGTTCGGCTTCATATTGCCTCGGAAACGCCTCAAAGAACTCCAAGAAGCATCGAAAGCTTCCCAAAACTGCCCCAAGAGGCCCCATACGGCCCCAAGACAACCCGAGGGCCCCCCAAAGCGGCCAAAAAAAGGCTCCAAGACGGCTCCCAAAACCGGCAAGACTGCATCAAGAAGGCTCAGCCGATCCTCTTCGGAAGAGCTCGGTGGATCCATCGCGCCCCGGACGGCCCCGAGGCCCACAACGGGCCGTCAACGCGACGCCACCAGGCTCCCAAGAGGCCCCCAATGAGGCCCAGGAGGCCTCAAAGAAGCCCCGAGATGCCTCCAAGACGCCTCCAATGGACATTCAAACGCTGGAGGAGGGAGGAAAAGGAGGAGGAGGAGAAGGAGGAGGAGGAGGAGGAAACGTAGGAGGAAGTATGAAGGAAGAGGATCACGAGGCTATGGACAAGGAAGAGGCGTTCAAGACCCGTGCCAGCTCCAACAGAGCACTGAACTAGAGGAGGTCTCAAATTCAACCTCATTCCTGCTGCGCCAGTGCGCTTGCGAGGTGGCGGGGTTTGCCGCAGGCAGCTGGATGCATACACGAAGGGCTGCTTTGTCTACCGCACCCCAACGCAGTGCCCGAACTTGCTACACCGAATTCGGCCATGAGCAATGCGACTGCCGCAGCAAACAAAAAAAATGCGGCAACTGAAGCTCCAGCCAGGATGCATCCATGCAGTTTTGGAAGAATTCACGACACGCAAATGCTTGTATACAAGTGGATACATCTACGTCACCGCATATTTACAAATATCGGAGGTTTGGGGGTGTTCGAAGTGAAGTGGAGACCCCCAGAAAGGGGATCGGTTTCGCTTTCTTGCTCGTGTCGTGCACGCGGGCGAGGCGAAGCTGCGTGGGCAGGCGAAAGGAATGAACTCGCCGCGGCTAGGGTGAATCTGAGCTCAATTACGCTACGCCCCCCGGTTGGCCTGCGGTGGCTCGGGGGTGTCCCGCCGGTGTCCCGTCGTGTCCCGTGGCGCGGTGTCCCGTGGTGTCCCGTGGTGTCCCGGGGTGTCCCGTAGCGCGGTGTCCTGTGGTGTCCCGTGGTGTCTCGCGAGGTCGGTTGTGAGATCGATTCTGAAGTCGATTGTGAGATCGATAGCGAGATCGATAGACACATCGGTAGACAAACCGATCGTGAGATCGGTAGTGAGGTCGGCTGTGAGACCGATAGTTCGTGAGATCGACAGAGGGAGAACAAAAGTGAGATCGGCAGGTAGATAGAGAGAGTGAGATAGATCGATATATCGATAGAGAGAGAGATCGATACAACTCACACACTGGACGCTGATCTCGCCGTCCCACACACGAACTCCTTATCACCCGACGAGTTGTCGTCTAAGTATGTGTGTATGTATGTATGTATGTATGTATGTATGTACGCACGTACGTATGTACGTATGTTTTCTGTATGTATGTACGCATGCCTGTATACACACATCGATTGCATGTATGTCTGTATGCATGCATGTAGGTAGGCAGGTAGGTAGGTAGGTATGTTGACATTTGTATGTATGCATGTATGCGTATGCATGCATGTATGTATGTATGTACATATGTATGCATGTGTGCAATTATGTATACCGGTGTGTGCACAACTACACGCACATACATGCGTACATATACATCATGAGAAGGGGGAAGTGGGAGGGAGGTATGATATAAGGAGAGAGCTATAGTGATTGATAGGGATGCAATAAGAACATAACTGGGCGATGATAGTAGAGCTAGACGAGGAACTCGGGTAGATGCAGGTAGGATGAGAAGAGTAGGAGACGAGGGAGGAGGGTGATGGGGAGGGGGAGCGGAGGAGGGATATGGACGGGGGAAGAAGGGACAGGAAGAGGAGGGGCAGGAGAGGCAGCAGGATCGGGAGGAGGAGGAGCAGCGGAAGCATCACTCAACAGCAGCAGCGGACGTACATGTCAGACGAACATGAGCAGCAACCGAATCGAAAGGGGAACCTAGCCATGAAAGACGGGGCGCCCACTCCAGCGCCGCGGCGAGCAGCGTGCAGGGCACGGCCCGCGTCCGCCACTGGAGGGGGCTGTACTCAGCAAGACTGGATACGTCATCCCGCGGAAAGACGGCCCAAGACGCGTCCGAGATGGCCCACGTACGTTCCACGACGGCCCAAAGAGGAGCCCTAGGGGGGACAACGATCTGAAAATACGAGCCTCCCGCCCCGAAAGAGCCCAAGGAAGCCCCAAGAGAGCTCCAAAGGGCCTCGGGAGGCCCCCTCAGACGTTTCGGTGAGGCTCCAAAAACATTCAAAAATGTGACTTTCCCATTAGTTGTTCAATGTTTTCAGCGTCCTCGCTTTTTCGGGTTTCCCACGTTCCAAGACCGCCCGAGAAGCCCCCAAAACCGCTCCACAACGGCCCAAGGGGCTCTCAGAGCGTCCTGAAAAGCCCCAAGACGGTCCAAGACGCGCCCCAAGACGGTCCAAGACGGCCCACGAACGCTCCGAGACGGCCCAAAGAAGGGCCCCAGGGAGGACCAGATAACTGAAAATACGAGCCTCCCGCCCCGAAAGGGCCCTAGGAGGCCCCAAGAGAGCTCCAAAGAGCTTTGGGAGGCTCCCTGGGAAGCTCCGGCGAAGCTCCAAAAAGCTTCAAAATCGTTAATTTTCCATTAGCTTAAGCGGAGGAGGAGAAGGAGGAGGAGGAGGAGGAGGAGGAGGAGGAGGAGGAGAAGAAGGCAGAGAAAGAAGGAGAACGAGGTGGAGGAAGAGGATGAGGAGGAGGAGGCGGAGGAGGTGGAGGCACGAACCAGTACGAACCAGCGGACCGCGGCTAAAATGGAAAAAAGGATGGCACCACGGGCCAACCATTCCAAAGCTTCAAGGAACAAGGTGCATGGCGCGAAGCGCCAATGCTATATATATATATATATATATATATATATATATATTATATATATTATATATATACACACACATATCCATATCCATATCCACAGCCTGCCGAGGTCCCCAGAGATCGATCCCCCAGGCGGTGGTAACGGACGAACCCCCGCCCCAGAGCTCGGGCCGCGGTGCCCTGCACGCCCTCGGCCCCTCAGGGAGCGACTCCTGCGAGGCCTCCGTGAGACCCATCAGGCCAACTGAGCCTCCCGAGGCCCCCGAGCCGTCGCGACACGCGGCGCGGCGCGGCGCCTCGGCGGCGGCCGCCTCGAGCCCGGCGCGCGCGGGCGCGGACGGGCACGCCGCCGCGCAGGCTGCAGCAGTGCGTGCGGGAAGCGGGAGCACGGCCGCGCCCACGCCTTGGAAGCTCTGCTCGGGCCAGCCGCTGGCGCTCCGTGCCCACGCCCCTGAGATCCTGGCGTCTCGATCGTTTCGAGCCGGGCGTTTTCGCCGAGGCTCGGGCCCCGGGACCCTCACAGGTCGATGCGGCTCGGAACGCGGCGCAGCCAGGTGGGAGCTGGGGCTCTGGCTGGTTCTGATGCCTCACTGTTTTCCAGCTTCTTCGCGCCGGCAGATCTCAGGGTGTGGTGGCTGTGGGTGGGCTTGAGGCGGAGCGCCGACGTCGAAGCGCGTGCGTGTCTCGAGAGATGAATTCGATCTTCCACTCCAAGACGGTTACGGTCAGAAACTTTTGCTTGACCTGTCGCGGTGGCGGCCCTGGCGACACATTATGCCCAGGAAGCGGATAGCGCGTTGCTCCGCTCCGCGTAACTGGAGGCTAGGAAAAGCTAGGGACGTAGACGCTTGGAGACTGGAAGTGGTTGGCGTGTCGCGCCTAAGCGTGGTGGGCCAGAACTGGCGGAGCGACACGCTCAGCAAAAGCTCCTGACACCGTAAATCAGCAGCGCCAGGCAACGCATCACCATTGCGCGCACGCACGCTCGGAAACCACGAACACTGGCGCTCGGGAGAGCCTCGATCGCGGCCTGCTTCGCGATGAGCGCGATCACCTCCAAGCTGGAAGGCCCGCCGGGCATCAGATCAAAGATCGGGGGCGCACATAGAATCCCCTGCAATGAAACATCTTCTCGTGATAACGACGTGGGACCAAACCTGGCGGGCGCCGGCCCGCAGACGCCGCCAGGGGGCCCCGGCGCAGATCCACGAAATCCGCACGGACCGTCCAGAGTTCATGTGTATGCCACAGTTGATCTTCTTTGATGGTCGAAGGGGTTGAGAGGTTGAGAGACACCCCGCCCTGCCGGCTGGACTCGCGGATTGCCCTCTGCCAGTTCCCGAGAGGGTGCCGCGGCCGCGCGACGAGCACGTCCACCAGCAGGCCTCGTCTCACGGCGGCCATCGGCGGACGGACCGCCACCACGGGCAGCGCGTGGGGGCCCCGGCTGACTGCCCCGAGTTGGCCGTCGGCGAAGAGGCGCGGTGGGCACCAGTCGAGCTGGCTGGGCGGCGCGGCCGGCCAGAAAGCCTGCTTCCAGGGGTCCTAGGCATTCTTGGAGGGGGCGCAGCGCCGCAGGGCCGAGGCACAGTGCGCCTCGGGTGTCTGGGGAAAGTAGGCCCGACGCTCCAAGCTGCAGTTGGTACGGACTCAAGTATTGCCCGCGCGCGCGGGGACGCGGCGCGGAGAGTCGGGACGAAGACCATACGAAAGCAAGCGCCGACCACGAGCGGCGATCGTAGCGCCCGCGCGCGCGAGGACGCGGAGCGGAAAGTCGAGGGCGAAGGCTACGAAAGCAAGCGCGGTCCACGAGTGGTGATCGTCTAACTAATCATATCCACGCCTTTGCGGTCCGCACTCCAGAGCGCGATCTCGCGGATACTCGGTCGCATGGTTACGTGCCGCACGGGGCATCTTCTAAAAACACAGCACGTGTCCAAGGGGTCGCGGCCCAAGGGACAGGCCTGGCGGCCCGCGAGGCCGTGAATACGGACTCGTTTGCCGCCCCCGAGCCAAGGCCAAGGCCCAAAGCGCGACTGGAACAATTTTACACTCGCCCCGTCCTGACGCGCACCAGCATGGCCGGCACGAGCGAACCGTCGACCCCGCAGCCTCCCGCGCAGACACTGCCCCAGGCGACCTTGACATCGTGCGCAACGGTCTGCAGCATAGGCCAGTGCGGACGCGCCCGCGTCACCGTAAAAGTTTCGGTTGACGGCCACGCCGCTGAACAGAGTCCACTCCGTGAGCGCGTCCGTGGCGCACGACATGCGGGCAGCGCCCGCGGCAAGGCCATCCCTGAGCCGAGTGCCGGCGATGAAGGACACACTTTTGCAGAAACCGAAGCTCTTGAAAGCGAGGCGAGGCTTCCACCGGCCTGAACAAGAAATATGAATTTGTTGGTCAGCGGGCGCGGACACGGTCCCGGTCGTCCGGGCGTGCGCGCGCCACACAGACGCGAGTTGACGCCCATGCGACAGAGGTATACAAGGAGAGAGAGCGAGAGGGAGGCGATACGGCGAGATGAAACGGCCGCAGAGGCAGGAGAAGACAAAAAAAACATGTCGGACCGCAATGCATGCGTATGAGGGAAGAGGGGGGGAGAACAAGGAGGGGGAGAGGATAAGGAGGGACGAGGGAGATGGGGGGACTTCCGAGGGGGGAGAAACAAGAGGCGGAGGAGGCAGGGGGAAGGGCCAGAGGGCGGAGAGACCACCCCCGTCATAGTAAGCACCTTGCAGGTGAAGCCCTCTGGCAAGCGCAGCTAGAAACAATCGAACAGAGCAGGACTGTTGAGTTAACGCCCGCGGCCGTTGAGTAATGTCAGCCTGTGATTAACAAAAACCGTGGGGGGCGCGTGTGAAAAAATAGTTTCCCTGTTCGGGCGATTCGCGGGGTGGTAACCGCCAAATTGAAAATGGACGGCGGTGGTGCCAGTGATTAGCGTCGACGCCCAGCCGCCAGCGGGAAGGCGACAGACAGCACAGACTGGGGGAGGGGAGGGGGGCGGGAAGCAAAGGCGGCAGAAGCATGGACCGTGAGCAGAGGGGACACCTGCTCGAAATGAAGAAGAACTGCTGTCGGCGCTCGCCCCCGCACTTTCCGTGGTTTTTCCTGTCGAAGCGGTGCGCTTCCTTCGCCCTGGCCGCAGCCAGGAGGGCGCCATCTGCCTCGCGGGCCCGCGGGCAAGGCGGGCTGGACGAAAGGGGGGCGTGGCCAAGCGGGGATTTGCCCACCAGCTCTCGCTGCGGATTTTCCGAGCGCCCCCTGGCGCCGAAAGCGGCCGTGCATCGAGGAGCGGCCCCTCGGCGGGCCGACTGAGACAAGCTGCGCGCAGCAGGTCTCGCACACCCCCCTTGCCTTCCCCAGCCCGTCGTCCGACCCGAGCAGGGCGGGCAGTCCTCCTCCCCTCCTCTGTCGTGACTGGTCGACCACGGCGACGACGAAAACGAGGACGAAGACGAGGACGAGGACGACGACGAGGAGAACCGAAGACGAGGACGAGGACGACGGACGGCTGACGGCGACGGCGGCGGCGACAACGACGACGACGCACTGTGGATGCCTTAATGGGGGGTGGGATGTGTGTGCTGCGCAGGCCCGCTGCAGTCGACGACGACGACGACGACGACGACGACGACGACGACGACGACGACAAGGACGACGGAGAAGACGACGACGACGACGACGACGACGACGACGACGACGACGACGACGACGACGGCGGCGACGACGACGGCGACGACGACGACGCACTGCAAATGCCCTATGGGGGGGGGTTGTTGCGCAGGCCCGCTGTGGTCGACGACGACGACGAAGACGACAACGACGACGACGATGACGACGACGAAGACGAAGACGCTGACGACGACGACCACGACGACAAAGACAACAACGACGACAAAGACGACGACGACGACGACGACGACAAGGACGACGAAGAAAACGACGACGACGACGGCGACGACGACGACGACGCCTGAGAGCGGGGAAACAAATCGCCTCGGATGCGTATACTCGGGGATGGACAAAACCCCCTTTAGAACAACGTGGTTTAGTGAAAACGACCTCGGGCCCAAACCTGGCAGGCGCAAGCCTGGAAAATGACGGCCGCGGCGCCCTCTCGAGAACCGATAACGGACAAATCACCAATCGACGTGTCAGGGTGGGAGGTCTGTCCACCCCCGATATACGACCCCTACAACAAATTCGATACGAAAGGCATTAGTTTTGAGGTTGTCATGCAGGGGGATACACGATGCCCCCGGCGGCGCCAGCGACGACCCCCTGGCGCGCGTGATACAAAAAAAAGGTTCGCGCCCCGCGGGGTCTATTCATCAGCCCCGGGGGGGGGGATAGCAATTTGTTAATCACAAGCTGGCATTAAACGCAGGGGTCTGGGTGGCTCTTCCTCCATGGAAGGATGGCAATCTGACCTCCCCGTCCTTCCAGTCGGTCTAGCCGAGCTCCCACCCCCTCCCAAGGCTCAGACGGCCGCTCGGAACGGCGAAAACGCCTCCGGAAAATGTTTGGGTGCTCCCCATCCCTCTGCTTCCCCTACCCGTGCGTCTTGGGGCAGCGAGCCCTGGGCACACCCAGGTGCTCCCAACCATCCCACGGCGGACACGCCCCTCACCTCCCTTTCAGATGGTGAGGGGGGCCAGGAGGGGCCCTGGCGGCACAAGCGCGCCTGCTTCGGCACTTGGCTAAAGCAAAAGGCCGCCGAATCTTGCATTGCGAATTATAAAAACATGAAAAAAACAGGCGGGCGGCTTGGAAACACTGCGGGCACGAAGCGAGGGGGAGCGCTAGACGCGTGAACAGAAAGAATGCAACCACTACGCGGGGACAAGAGTCGGCTGCATGCAATTACGAGTGACCCTGGGTTGGAGCGATCTTTGGTGCGCGGCTCTGAGGGGGAACGGGGGGAGGGGGGGGGGGGGAAATACAAGCAGTCCATGCGCGCCAGTCAGTGCCTGCGAGGCCCAGTGGGCCCGCACCAGAAAAGAAGGTCACTCTGGCGAAGGGTCACTGTCACGCGTGGCCGAAAGAGGGCCTCCTCTTGCAGCTCCAGCTCCCGGCCGCAAAAGGCCTCCCCTCGAAAGGGTCGGCCAGCCGCCATGCCGAACATGTTTTTTCAGTCTCAACGCTGGCGGACGCTCAGCGCAGAGTGAGCGGCACTCTGCACAGTGGAGTCAGGGATCCCAGATCTCCGAGAATATGATGCTTTAAGGCTGCGGCGTTTCCTCGATCTGGGCACTCGGGGGCCGCTTTCGGGCCCCCGGCAATCAAGCATGTTTCCGGGAAGAAGGCTACCACCTGGGAAGCGGTCGGGATCTCTGAAGCCGCGGATTGAAAACCAAAAAACGTACCAGCGGATGTCAGGAATTGTACAACCCGCCACGCCAACCACGCTGGCACAACAAGTGCGCGGGATCCATACAATCCCACCCCTCCTCGTCCGCTGACCTGTCAGGGGTTGGGCCCACGTCGGCCCATCTGGGGAGCCAGAGGGGCTCTGTCCATGTTGCACACCCTATTCGGATATGACGCCAGACAAGCCGTACTTCTGTATTTGGATTCTGGCAAATTTACCTGCATGGCATTCCACCCCCCCTCCGCCATTTCAAGTAGCGCTGGGCCGAAAAAGGCGTGCACGTGAACCACAGCTTGCTTGAAGTCCAGAGTTCCCTTCGGGCCTCGCCACGGCCCCCCCTTCGTGCAGGTAGCCCTGCCAGAACCGAAAGAAACATGCACCGGAGAAAGACCCCAATCAGCAGATGTCCATGAAGTTTTGCATGCGTTCCACGCCTGCCCTCTCCATTTCTCTCTCTCTCTCTCTCTTTCTCCCTATCACTATCTCTCCCCTTCTCCCTCTCTCTCTCTCTCCCCGCTATCTCCTTCGCTATCTGGTATATCCTGTCTCCACCTAAAACGAATCGTCGTTATTTATGTGATACGCCCTCACAGCGCCCTCTGCACTCTACTGGCCCAGACCTATTCTTAACCATGTATACATGTGCATCTAACTGTGTATATGAGTATACATGTTCAATGTTTGTGCGTATGTGTGTGTGTCTCTCTCTCTCTCTCTCTTTCTGTCTCTTTCCCTCTCTCTCTCTCTCTGCTTATAACTGTTTGTTGTGGTCTCTCTCGCTGTCTCTCTCTCTCTCTCTCTCTCTCCCCCGTGTATATGTTTTCTTTGTTGTGTCTTTGTTTCTCTCTCTCTCTCTCTCACTCCCTGTGCCCAACTTCGCCCTACGCTCTGTGATATGTACTCTGTATATGTCTCCGCGCCGTTTGTCTTGAACGCCCCCAGGGGGACGACGCTGGCGACACGGCAAACCCACGGCAAACCCTGCGTCCCGCACCCCAAGCAGACGACGCCGCCACGTGGCAGACCCCACGGCAAATCGACAGGGACCGAGGCGGCGATTGCCGTGGTGGCCGCGGCGCCCTCCCCAAGACGCAAGGCCGCGCGTCGGAACGAACGGCGCGGCGACACACACACACACACACACACACACACTCACTCACACACACACACACATACACACACACATACACATTCTTATAACAGGGACGGGGACGCCAGAAAAAGAGCGCCCCCTTCCACCCTAACGAATTTGCCCCTCCCCGGGCATCCGGGCAACTCTCCAGAAGACCTGGGAGAACCTCACGAGAGCCCGAAGACGGCCCCAGACGGGTTCCAGGCGTTCAGGCGCGCTCCCGAAACGACATCCGAAAGCCCCAATGCGGTCCACGACGACCCCCAAGAAGTCGCACACCCCCAAAGATCGCTCCAAAACGTCCCAAGAGGCCTCCGAGAGCGCTCCCAAAAAGGCCCCAAGAGGCAAAATTCATTGATCTTCTTTGATTTTTTGGTGAATTTGGGGTGCTCCTCTTTTCAGCTTCCCGACGCTCCAAGACGGCGGCCTTGCGGGCGTCCGAGACCGCCTGGGATGCTCCAAAATCGCGCCACAATCATCCGAAAGGGCTTCCAGGCAGTCCAAGAGAGCCCCACAACGACATAACACGGGGTCCAAGATGGCCCTAAGAGAGCCCCATGGCGGCCCAAGATGGCCCCAAGACGCCCTTCGAAGCATTCCGAATCGTGACACGGTCGTTCAGGGAGACCGCGGTTGGAGGCAGGGTGGCCCGGGGAAGCCCCCAGAGGCCCCCAGAACACGCCCAGGAGGCCTCCAGAAGGTCTTCAGAAAGCGTAGAAAACTGTTATGAAGCCTCGTAAGAAACTGTTGTGAAGATCTCCCAGGAGGAGCCTTCGCAAAAAGAGCTGAGGAGGATGGGGAGAATGCACAGGGTATGGCGAAAATGAAAAACATAAGCACAGAGCAAGGAGAATGAAGAACATTATTACAACGGCGACGCCAGAAAAGGCAACAAAGAGTTATCGCTAAATTGTCGGCTTGACCTTCCTGCTTTTCCGCCTGCATACCAAAACTTCGAGGACCAATGTGCATGGCACGAAGCGCCATTGCAGTCTTGCATGTGTATATATGAATATGTAAATAGCATACACCCTCTCATTCTGACTCGCCAGCCACCTTTCAACCGCATATCTAGCAAAGCGCGCACATGCTCGCTATTTATTTATATATATATATATATATATAAATATCTCTCTCTCTCTTGATCTCTCTCTCTCTCTCTATCTTCAACCCATCTGGCCAACTCTACTCGAAGCTCTCTGACCCCTGCAATCTTCACGATCAAAGACCCAGCCGCTTGGCTACAACCCGAATCGCAAAACCGTATACGCTGCAAAGAGCCCAAATACCGCAACTGGAAAACCGAAAAACGCACCAAAACTTACATACTGTTGGGGATCCGGGAACCGGGAACCTGGGAACTTAAGCCCAGCCGCCCACCGAACCAGGAACTGGGGAACCCAGCCAACCTTACACTGCCGGGGACCCCAGAACTGGTAACCCGGGAACCTGGGAACCCAGCCGCCCACCGAAATTGGCCCAAAACCTGGAACTGGTAACCCAGGAACCCAGAACCGGGAAACCAGCCGCCCGCCAGAATCGGCCAGGAGCTTTCACCAAATCCTTCAGTCTCTGCGAGGGCCCTTTCAGTGCAACAACTGATTGGGGACAAAAGCTGCCTCACAACTCGCGAGGCAGAACGCGCGAGAGATGTTCCACAACCCGAGCGGGTGTTTGCACGCGGGCTGAGAGACGTCACGCTCTTGCGGTCTCCCTGCAGGCCAGACAAAAAATTGCGAGCTCCCTGACGCTCTCAGGCTTGGCCGTCGGAAGTAAGATGATCTCGTCTTCGGCTGGCACTGGCCCTTGAGGCTGCAGCCCAAGCCCAGGAGAGCCGTCCGTGATAGCGGAGGTCCCGGAAATCCGACGTAGCCAACAAAATGATCAGTTGTTCCCAACCATCCTGTGGTGTTGGGCCCTCGTTTTGAAGAGACGTCGCCCCGCGTTGCCCCTCCTTCCTCCCCCTCCTCCCCTCCTCTCATCATCAACATCATCATCATCGTCATCATCATCATCATCATCGTCATCATCGTCGTCATCGTCATCATCATCATCATCACCATCAGCATCATCAGCATCATCACGCGTTTCGTTGTCCCATAGGGAGCTCCACCGAAGGTCCCAATGGCGCGGCTGGCATGCGTCTCCCCCCCAGTACAACGTTTCGTGGCCCAACGGGGAGCGCCACCGAAGGTCCCCGTTGCGCAGTCCGCATGCGTCTCCCCTACCCTGTACAGCGCTTCGTGGCCCCATAAAGGGGTTCCGCCGAAGGTCCTACTGGCACAATCCGCATGCGTCCCCGCCACTCATTTCGGCCCACCCCTCACACGTTTCGTGGCCCCATAGGAGCTCCGCCGAAGGTCCCAGTGGCACAGTCCGCATGCGTCCCCGCCACTCATGTCGGCCCACCCCTCACACGCTTCGTGGCCCCACAGGAGCTCCGCCGAAGGTCCCAGTGGCACAGTCTGCATGCGTCCCCGCCACGCAGTTCGGCCCACCCCTCACACGCTTCGTGGCCCCATAGGAGCTCCGCCGAAGGTCCCAGTGGCACAGTCCGCATGCGTCCCCGCCACTCATTTCGGCACACCCCTCACACGTTTCATGGCCCCATAGGAGCTCCGCCGAAGGTCCCACTGGCACAGTCCGCATGCGTCCCCGCCATTCATGTCGGCACACCCCTCACACGTTTCGTGGCCCCATAGGAGCTCCGGCGAAGGTCCCCGTGGCAGTCCGCATGCGTCGCCGCCAGTAATTTCGGCCCACCCCTCACACGTTCGTGGCCCCATAAGAGTCCCGCCGAAGGTCCCAATGGCACAGTCCGCGTGCGTCCCCGCGCTTCGTGGCCCCATAGGGAACTCCACCGAAGGTCCCCGTGGCGCAGTCCGCATGCGTCTCCCTCACCCAGTACAGCGTTTCGTGGCCCCATAGGGAGCTCCACCGAAGGTCCCCGTGGCGCAGTCCGCATGCGGCTTCCCCACGCAGTACAGCGTGTCGTGGCCCCATAGGGAGCTCCCCCACCCAGTCAAGCGTGTCGAGCGCGCCCTTCGTGGACGACCTCAAGCGCCACGACGAGAGCCTCACGGGTGACCTCACGGGCCCGCTGGTGTTCATCGAGCCTCGCACGTCGGAGCCGTTCACCTTCCGCGCCTCCGAGGTCACCCGAACGGGCTTCCCGTTCTCGCACGTCAGGGTCATCACCACGGCGGCGTGCCAGGGGCGCACCACGCGCGAAGGCCATGGGGCGAGTGAGCAGCGAGCGCTCTGGGGCAGTTTTCGGCCAGACCTGCTGGGCGCGAGCAGTCCGCAGCCAGACCTTCTCTCGGTCCCGTGGACTCTCGCCCTGGGCCGTCGCCTTCCCAGCGCGCTGCTCCCTCGGCCGACATCGCCCAGGCGTGATCCTGGACTGCGGCCGCCACGAGGTTGGGAACGGCAAGAAGGAGGACGACGACTGGTGGCTGGAGCTCTACGCGTTGCTCTCGCGCGCCACGCGCCGCGAGGACCTCCTGTTCATGCGGGCGCCGCGCATCGAGTTCTTCCTGGCAGGGCCGCTGGAAGACTCGCGGAAGCAGCTGGAGCAGTTTGCTGCGCGCGCGAAGCGGCGCAGGAGGGGGGCGACGGCCCTCGCCAGGGAGCTGGGCTTCACCGAGTTGATCCGCGAAGCTTGATCTGAGGAGCGGCCCGCCCGAGCCTATCCGTCTCTCGACGGTCTGACTAATTGTTTGGCCTCGCGCCGCGGACGACCCGCGCGCGTCGTTGGGGCCCTCTCGGGGCTACCGGCGCGCGTCGCAGGAACTCTGTGCTGCGTTCTGCCCAGCGCCTCGCTCGCCCGTCCTCGCTCTGCCCAGCGGCAAAAGCCTTGCCCGCTATCAGCCAGCCAGCTAGCTCTCTTTGCCCCGCGCAGCGGACGACCCGCGCGCGTCGCTGGGACCCCTCCGGGGCGACCTGCGCGCGTCGCGGGGGCTCCGATCAGCGCTGCGCCCGCAGCCTTGGGCTTTTGAGTGCGCGAGCAAAGAGGGAGCAAAAGAAGGGGAGGAAGCGGGCGCGATCCTCGCGGGGGGGCGCGCCGACATTGGCGTCGCGGCGCGCGGGCGATGCCGTCGGGGAGTCCTGGGGAAGCTCCTTGCGGCGGCCACGCCCAGCGTCACGAGTACTCAGAGGCAGTCATTCTGAAACGATTGACATTCATATACAATTACACCATGCTTTGTCATATTCGCATTCATGCACGTAGCTCTCGCTCGCACGCAGATTCATTCACAGTCAGACGCACTCGCGCTCAGATTCACCCGCGCTCAGTCTCCCGACGTACTCAGATCAATCGTCTTCGTTCGCGTTGTGTACCACGCCACTCATTTCGGCACACCCCTAGCACGGTTCGTTGCCTCATAGGGATCACCACCGAAAAAGTGAATCACAATTGTGGTACTCACACCTGCATATGGTTGGGTCCTTCGTCAAGCTAATTCTTTAGATTCAGGCGAAAAAACCGGCATGGAGGATGGATCCCGTGGCAAGGCCCGAAAAGAAATCTGGACTTCACGCAAGTCGTGACCCACTTGTACGCCTTTCGGCCCAGCGCCGTTGGAAATGGCGGCGGAAGGGGGGGGAATGCCATAACTTGCCAGATAAACTTGCGCTCGTTGTCGCATATATGGAAAATCACGACCAGAGCCCTGGGTATGGTCTTTCTGCACCATTCGAGCCGGGTCGATCGGGATGGTCCTGGGGCTTGGAGGCCGCTGCGGTCCGCCTGCGCCAGGCACTGGGGGTAACAAAGCGATGCCGATACCGCCATTGCCCCCCCTCTCCCTGTCCAAGACCTCGAGGCGACTACGACCGTGGCGACGAGGGAAGCGTGCCGGTGCGGGTCTGATAACGCTTGCGGCACGGGCCCGTCCCCCGCGGCCTCCTCAGCGCGCCCGCCACGGGGAGCGCGCCGAGCGACTCTGCCGGACGGCGGGGCGGACCTCCGAGACCGGGTCGGAGGTCTCCGTCCGAGGCCCCGTGGGCTGGCCCTCTGCTCGGCCGTGGCTTCCTCGAGGCCTCCTCGGGGCGCTCTCGGAAGGCCGATCGACGCAGAATTGCCAAGCGTGGAATCGTCCACACGGGGTCCCCAAAGGTTCCCGACCCTTTCCGAAGGGCCAACGTTTTTCGTCCCGAGTCGATGCTTGACGGCCCGGGGGAGGGCCCCCGAAGGTGAACAAACAGCGACAAATATCTGCCCTGACTCTGCAAAACGACGCTGGATGCCTGAGTAGTTGCCCAGCGACAGAACGTCAACAGCTTAATTTTGGCACGAACCCAGCGGGTCCTGAGGGAGACGGGTCCTGGACCCATGGCCTTCCCCCAGCTTTCCGTCGAGAGCGGTTTTTCCGAACCATCCTGTGGTGTTGGATCCTCGTTCTGACGAAACAGCGCCCCGCGTCTCCTTCCTCTCCTCTCCTCCTCCCCCTCCTCCCTGCTCCCTCATCATCATCATCATCATCATCATCATCATCATCATCATCATCATCATCATCATCATCATCATCATCATCATCATCATCATCATCATCATCAGCATCAGCATCAGCATCAGCATCAGCATCAGCATCATCAGCATCATCATCAGCATCAGCATCAGCATCAGCATCAGCAGCAGCAGCAGCATCACCCATGTCGGCACACCCCTCACACGCTTCGTGGCCCCATAGGGAGCTCCACCGAAGGCCCCAGTGGGGGTGCCCGCATGCGTCCGACACACCCAGTGCAGCGCTTCGTGGCCCCATAGGGAGCTCCACCGACCGAAAGCCCCAGTGGGGGTGCCCGCATGCGTCCGCCACACCCAATACAGCGCTTCGTGGCCCGATAGAGAGCTCCATCGAAGGCCCCAGTGGGGGTGCCCGCATGCGTCCGACACACCCAGTGCAGCGCTTCGTGGCCACATAGGAAGCTCCACCGAAGGCCCCAGTGGGGGTGCCCGCATGCGTCCAACACACCCAGTGCAGCACTTCGTGGCCCCATAGGGAGCTCCACCGAAGGTCCCAGTGGGGGTGCCCGCATGCGCCCACCACGCCCAGTACACCGTTTCGTGGCCCCATAAGGAGCTCCACCGAAGGCCCCAGTGGGGGTGCCCGCATGCGTCCGCCACACCCAGTACACCATTTCGCGGCCCCGTAGGGAGCTCCACCGAAGGCCCCAGTGGGGGTGCGCTTCGTGGCCCCATAGGGAGCTCCACCGAAGGCTCCAGCGGGGGTGCCCGCATGCGTCAGCCACACCCAGTACACTGCTTCGTGGCCCATAGGGAGCTCCACCGAAGGCCCCAGTGGGGGTGCCCGCATGCGCTCGCCACGCCTGGTACACCGTTTCGTGGCCCCAAAGGAAGCTTTACCGAAGGCCCCAGTGGGGGTGCCCGTATGCGCCCGCCACACCCAGTACAGCGGCCCCATAGGGAGCTCCACCGAAGGTCCAAGTGGGGGTGCCCGCATGCGTCCGCCACACTCAATACACTCAGACCCATAGTCTTTGTTCTTTCAGTGTACCCCGCCGCAGATTCCGGCCCACCCCTCGCACGGGTCGTGGCCCCATAGGGAGCGCCACCGAAGAAGATATTCACAATTGCGGTTTTCACAACTGCATATTGTTGGGTCCTTCGCCAGGCTAATTTGACAACCCCGGGGCCCGCGAAGGGCCCCAGGAAGCCCAAAGCGGCGAATAAGCCCAAGACCTGTTGCCCTCAGGACCCGCTTCCTGCATAGCGATATTGCCCCAGCCCTCCAATGAGGGACAATGGCACAGCCGGACCAAGAACGGCAAAACATCCTTCAAGAACATGAGACCCTCCGCCGGCCAAAACACCCCAAACCATAAGATCCCCGAGGGCACCCCTCCGCAGGATGCACAAGAGCATGCGGCAAACACGAC